TTTCTTTCTTTCTTTCTTTCTTTCTTTCTTTCTTTCTTTCTTTCTTTCTTTCTTTTTTTAGATGTTTATTTATTTGACAGAGTTACAGACAGTGAGAGAGAGAAAGGTCTTCCTTCCATTGGTTCACTTCCCCAAATGGCTGCAATGACTGGAACCGTGCCATTCCGAAGGCAGCAGCCAGGAGCCAGGAGCCAGGAGCTTCCTCCGCGTCTCCCACACGGGTGCAGGGGCCCAAGCACCTGAGCCATCCTCCACTGCACTCCCAGGCCACAGTAGAGAGCTGGTCTGGAAGAGGAGCAACCGGGACTAAAACCCGGTGTCCATATGGAATGCCAGGGCTGCAGGCGGAGGATTAACCTAGTACGCTGAGGCGCCAGCCCCTTGGAGAGGGAAGTTTTTCTAAAAGTGGGATTTTTTGTGAGTGCTTTGTGCTCATGTACCATACTGAAGTGACTGATGTTGAATCCTGGCTCCGTTTCCAACTCTAACTTCCTGCTAATGCACACTGTGAGAGGCAGGAAGTGATGGCTCAAGTGGTGGCTCTCCCTGCCACCCACATGGGAGACACAGATTGAGAACCAGGCTCCTGGTTTAAACATGGCCCAGTCCTGCTCTTGCAGGCAATTTGGAAGTGAACCAGTATGGATGAACTCTTTCTGTTTCTGTCTGCCTGCCTTTCAAGTAAATTAAAAATGAATAAAACAAAAGTGGAAAGGATAGAAAGAAAATTCTACATTATATTTGGCAAAGAGAGAGTCGCTGTTATCAGCAAAGAGAATAGCTTCAGGGGAGTGGTAGGAGCGAAGCTAAATTGCAGAGTGTTCACAATGAAGGCAAGGCAGGAAGGCTCAGGCAGTGAACCTGGCCCCCTCATTTAAAATAATAGCTTTGAAACCAAGTAGAACAGAGCCCTGCAAAGCATTCAGAAGAGAACATGGGGTTTTTTAAAATTTTAAGATGAAGATTTAAACATCATAAAATATAAGGGAAAGCAGTTCTATGCAAAGAAGAAATTGATGGAAGAAATGAGAGATGATTGTATATTAGTGATAAGATTCCAGAAGAAGGAACGGGACCAATGACTATAGCTGGAGGGTTGTCCACTCCTTTGAGTCCAAAGCAGAAGGGTAGAGGTGGGATGGGAGAAAATAAGACGTAATTATGTAGAAGATAGAGCTGGAAGTCAAACTGGTTATCTTTCCTAATTTAATTTTCCGATTACAAAGCAAAGCTTTATGATGATAGGAAGAACTGAGTTGGAGGGACAAGAAAATTGAAGAAAATTGAAACAATGGCAGAAAATGGAGAAGGGAAAAAATAAATATAATTTGGTTGTCTTTAAACCATCATTCACATTTCACTTCCAACTACACATGCTCTCTGACCCTTCACTAATAAATATTGGTAACTTTCATGTACATAGAAATGATTAAAAAGCAGTTTCTCTTTAAACTTCCTATCCATTTTTAAAAAAGATTTATTATTTATTTATTTGGGAGGTAGAGTTACACACTGAGAGGGACAGAGAGGTCTTCCTTCTGCTGGTTCACTCTCCAAATGGCTGCCACTGCAGGAGCTGAGATGATCCAAAACCAGGAGGCAGGAGCCTCCACCGGGTCTCCCACGTGGGTGCAGGGGCCCAAGGACTTGGGCCACCTTCCACTGCTTTTCCAGGCCACAGCAGAGAGCTGGATCAGAAGAGGAGCAGCCAGGACACGAATCGGTGCCCAAATGGGATGCAGGAACCTCAGGCAGAGGCTTAGCCACAGTGCCAGCCCCTATCATATACCTCTTAAATGGCACTTGTCATTTCCTGCTAAGTTCTTTTTTCATATATGTCTTTCTAGAATCAATTTGTGACTTTTTAGGAACAATCGTGTTTATATTCACTCATAAGCATCTACTACAGTGGGAACACATTTTTCAAAAAAAATTATTTTATTTATTTGAAATGCAGAGCAACATTGATGGAGGAATGGATCTTCCATCCACTGGTTCACTTTCCAGATGACCACAATGGCTGGGTTGGACCTGCCAAAGTTGGGAGTCAGGAATTCCATCCAGGAGCCCAAGTACTTGGGACATCTTCGCTGCTTTCCCAGGTGTATTAGCAGGGAGCTGGATCAAAAGCAGAAGAGCCGGGACTCACACTGCTCCCCTAAGGGATGCCAGAGTCACAGCAGCTTAACCTACTATGCCACATTGCTAGCATCTAGAGTAGGCAACACATTAAGAGTGTTACAACAAACCACTCTATACCAGTGGGGCAAATAACCCTTTCTGTCATTATTACCTCTCACACTTCTGGGGATCTTCCAAGTGGTTCACACTTAGGAACCTCCCTTGTGGCTGCAGTCAGGAAGTCAGGAATCTCCTCTTGCATCCATGGAGCCTGATGCTGGCTCTTACATGGCTGGGCTGTCCTCCAAACGTGCCTTCTCCAGGTGGGTTGGGCTTCATCTGGGGATGGTGGCTGCATTCCAAGAGCAGTATGCTGAGAAAGAGTAAGGCAGATGCTCTATCTCCTTGTATGGCCTACCCTCTGAAATCATGCAGTCTTATTCTGTCATATTTCACTTATCAAACTAAGTTACTAATATCAGCCCACATTCAAGGGGAGAGGAATTTACCCTCACCTCTTGAAGTATCGAAGAAGTTGCAGACACTACACACAATAAATGCTAACCAGATGCCTGTTTTAAGTATTTATCACATTTTGAATAAGTCTCAGAAGGAACAACAACAACAAAAAAATGAGAAGGGTACATAGTCTTAAAAGGTCTGAGTAGAAGCTGGTAATGATGCCTGAGTAAATTAACATATAAAATATGCTACCCATGGCTGTTTTGTTGTACAAACGAGTGTTTTCAATCTTCTTTTAAAATCTCTTTTTAGGAGATAAAATTGAACTATTGAGTCTAGGAAGGTATAATAGATCCATGTTCCTCCTACTTTCAAATGCATTCAAATTACATGGGAATATGGTTAAAATGCAGATTCTCATTCACAGATGGGGCCTGGCAGTCTGCATTTTAAAGAGTTTTAGATGATGCTACAGATGCTGGGATTTACAGGGCCACCTGTTGAATAGCAAATTAGAAGAAAGTAAGAGTGACTGCCTAGCTCCTGTTCTCTCTCTCTTCCCCCATGTCAACAGAGATCTTTATGTGCTTACAAGTCCTTGGCCATCTGACAAAGTATGAGGTAAATTGGTTCTTCCACAAGATTTTGTAACTGGGATTAAAGGAAGACAGTAATTGTTCTCATGGTAGAAGAATGAGCTCTGAGGCTCTGTAGTCACCAGCCACACGCAAAAAGACAGTTTCCAGGAGGGATCAAGGCAGAATGAAAAGAATCCAGGTGACATTCCAACTCCTGAAGAGGTGCAGACCAAGCCCAGTCCCACAAGAATTTTACATGAGGTAACATAATACCTCTGCAGCGAATTCCCTGTTGGACTGCCTTTGCTCCACATGAGTTTTTATCATTTGAAACTTAAAAAGTTCCAACACTGGGAAAAGAGAGGTTTCTTCCTGAAGCACAGAATCCACTCTTTGGGAACCAGGATTATTATCCAGACTTTTGGGGTTTGGGAATGAGGATGTACCAAGCTATAGGCTATAGAGACATTAGAAAACTACAGCTAAAACAGGAAAAAAAATCCAGGAAAGGCAAAAAAGTCTGGAGCGGAATTGTTGGATAACACTGAACAAAAATGAAAATAAACTGTCATAGAAAAATATTGTTTGCTAAGAACAGAAGTGAATTGTTCAATCTAGGAGAAGTAAAGCTAACACTCTTGAAGAAGCAAGCAGCCCTGAATAAAGGTTAAAGCAAGACAGGAAGGTAGGTAGGAAGGTAGGTTCCCACTCAGCGATGAACAAAACATTGGCCATGTCCTAAACAGGACATACTGCCTGCTGTAATGTACGAAATTTACCTCTACATCCTCATGCCACTGTCCCTGAACTTCTAGCACAGCCAGAACTGAATGTGGATCATATCCTAGGGCTGCCACAAGCAGACTCTATGACACAGGCAAATCTGAAAGTTTTCTTGACTCTGAGACCGCAAGCAGCATAGGTAAGACAAAAATGACAGTATAATCTTTCCATATTTGGAGTTCATGAATTTTTAATAACCTATTTCTTGGTTACACCTCCATTTATATCAATCCCATTATCCTATAGTTGACAAAGTTAAATTTAGCCAAATAGCTTATAATACATTTCTACAACAATAAATTTTTGTACCCCTAACCCTCTCCTCCCTCCCTCTCCCCCCCCAAAAAAAAACCAGCCTGATTATCACCAAGATGTGTTGGCCATGAACTGAAAAGTTTTCCAATTTAAGCAGCAGGTACATGTGTAGGTAGGGAAAGTAGCAACAAAACCACTTTCTTTGTGGCAAATGCTCTGAAGTTTGAGATGTGACAATGAAACAATAAAGTTGATTCTAAGAAGCAAAAATGGACACAGATCTCATTATCTTATAGCCATACCTTATAGTATGCTTATAAAATATTTCTTAAGTTAAAACAGTGTCTACTACAGATGGGACTAATTTTGGTAAAATCCACCAAAAAACGTTCTATGTTAATACAATATTTGTTGTGAATATTTTGGAAACATGAGTCGAAATTTCAAATGATGATTCCCACAGTAACTGTAACTCTGCTATAGAACATACATAATGGAAGAAGTGTTATCAATATATACCATAGTAGAAAATACTCAGTAAGCAGAAACAAGCTAAGTTATGCTTGTCGTGGGAGTCATCATTTCCAAGCAGCTGAGAATATATAAAAATTGAAACCATAAATACATGCATTATTTTTGTTTTTAATTCTAATTTTCCTTGATCCATTGTAATCAGTTTTGCATGCAAACTACATTTTCCTTTCATAAGCTGCAAATGAATATCTTTTGTAATTTTAAAATCCATATCATTGGGTTTCTTGTTTGCCCTCAGATTGCCTTTGCAGGATGGTATCATTACACCTTGTCCCTCTCTGAAATGTCAGAACAGGTTTTCTGGGGTCCATTTATACACATCTTGTCTCCCTGAAGGATACCATCGAGGAGGAGAAAAGGAATACCGAGAAGAACAAGAGACACATTGAGTGGCTTAGAAAGCTAAAGAAGTGCTACATGAAGAGGGACACTATCACCGTTAACTCCCCCCCACCCCCGCCCCAGGCATCTTCCCACACGGATATAATATCAGCATGTATTTCTGATTTCCAAAGTGTTTAGTCATAACATTATCTCATCAGATCCTCAGCACAACACTGACAAAGGCAAAAAAGCAAACATCTTCCCATTGTTTAGCTCACTGTGACTCCAGCAGAATGCATTTAATGATGTGCTTTTATGTAATCATTTAAACTCTAGGCCATTTAATTGCACTTACAATATTCCCGTGCAGAGGATTTGCTTATTATTGAAGACAGAATATACCTTATGTGAAAAGATTATGGTCATGGACTAAACATTTAACATATTTTAAGCCTTTTGCTTTAACTATATTCTGAAAATTCAATAATGAAACAGAGAAAAAATAATTGCCCTTTGAAGTCCTGCCTAGGCAAAATTAATCCTGTATATTATATCCAGTATTACTTTTCCCAGTTTGGTTTTAAGTAAGAAAGGCACCTTCTAACAACCTCAAAGGAAGAATTCTTTTACTTTCTAACAGTCTTTACCATCAGGGTATGCTTCATTTTATTCTAGCTAAATCACTTTGGCTCGTGAAAATCATAATTCCTTTACTTCTCTAAATCGCTCCACTCCACCATAGTATTCACGACCTTAAGTAAGTGACTGGAAGATGACATGGCCAGTCTTTTTGTCTGTTAATGCTACTGTGACCACGCTATTCAAATAGGTACAAAAAAATTCTCCCCTATACAATCAGATAAAGTTGTCTTGCTTCATTTACATGAGATCTTCAAAAAGTTGGTGGAAAATGCACATTATCTTCTTGTATGGTACACCAATAAAATAAATAATTCAAGTGAAGATTTAGAACTAATGAAAGCCTCTTTATCATTCGCTCTAAGGGAGATACACATATTCAATCCCTTGTCTGTGAAAAAGTCTGACCATTTTGCATGTTATTAAAGGACAATATTTTAAGTGCTAAAAGGAAAACAAATTATTTACTAAATGAATGAAGTTTCTACACCTTAAATGAAAAGTTTCTGTGGAAAAATAGAACACTATCTAGAGCAAAGGAAATTAACTCCATTGTTAATATAACCAGAGGCATTCATCCTGTAATCAATGTTAAAGTTTAAAAAAAAAGTACACTTTTTTAGCTTTGAATGATTAATGATTTTAAAACAAATAAAAGTCCATTTAGTTTAAAAAAAAAGGGAAATTCTAAGTAATATTGCTTTTAGGAGCTTTTACGGTGGTGGATGAGTTGTTCTTAACGTTATCTACCATTATAAGACAGATAACCACAATGAATAAAGATGAACACATAAGTTCTTGGATAAAATAGGTAAAACACATATAAAGGTTTTCCTCGAGACAAGAGAACTGAGCATTCAGCCCTTTCCCTCTTCACATGCAAAAATTTAAAAAGAAATCACAATCAGAAAGCAGAATCTCAATAACATATCCATGGGAAAGATGTGAAGCTGGCTGTTAGGCTTAAAAATTGAAAGGACTTAATGCCTGTGTAACCCATTAGTCAAATGTGAAGACAGAGTTAAGTAGGTCACCCATTTTATGGGATTGTTTTCAGGCAAAGTACAGATCCTGCCAGTAGGCAAGATTTATCTTAAACAAAATGAAATAAAAGTTTTTGCTGGATGTCTGTTTCAAGTGAGAAACTGAAAAGGAGGTGACCAATTCTGAAAGATTATAACACTTAGAAGTCAAAAATAATGGAGTGTGCTTCTGTTGAGCAATCAATATGTAAAATTCCCAACAGCTACAAAGTCACAGATACACTGACCACAAACAAGGTACTGGAGACTGTCAGTGACATAGATTAAGAAATCAATTTGTTAATCTTATAATTAAAGCTACAGAATTCTATGAGTGACTGAAAGTAACATGTTAATAGGTTCATACATTAAAGAATCAATCAAAGGAAAACTTCGGGAACAAGGTCAGTAGTCCAACAGTCTAAGGCTGTCAAATAAAGGACTACACACTCATATAACAGGTATTATGCAGCAGTTCACAAGGCATTCTTGAATATCCAATGAAAGGGAAACATTATATATAGTAAAATGAAAAAGGATAAATTATAAAAGTGGTTTCCTGTATGATCTCCACTTGGGGAAAATAATTGCAAAATAAAATGACCAGGAGGACACATAATTATTTAAAAAGTTGCTTCTATCAGAATTTCATGACTTCACAATTTTTTCTTTTTTGAATAAACAGGAGATATAGGGAAATTGTTATTCTAAAAAAAATCAATCAGTACATTCCCATTTCTCTGCCCCAGTTGTTTTTATAACACACAAAATAAAGTTGAAATATAATTGGTGCCATTAAGCAACTGCATTAACAATTATTTTTCTTTTAGTTATCAACAGCTTATTTAAATTTAGTTTCTTTATAGTTTTCTCCAATTCATGCAAAGAGAATTGTATCTTTAAAATCATATGACAGAAATTTTTATCCAAGGTTGTAGTCTTCCATGCTTTCTTCTTCATCTATCAAAGTCTAAAAAATGAACTTCATATGCTTGATTCCATAAGTTTTGAAGAAAACCATGATAATGAGTGCCCATAATCCCAGAATAAAACCTCCAGGAGGATGCCAATCTTTCAACTTTGGTTTCTGCAAAACAAAAGTAACAATAGGTATATAATTCAGTAATCAATAAAGCAAAAACTGATGAAAAAGAGAAATTTCACAGGTTGTGTTTTTAATTTAGCCAGATTATATGTACTAGAATAACAACAATGGTAAAGGCTTCCAACAGGATATATATCCCACAGGGTATATCAGATTCTAACAAAGATCCCCTTCAGCTTATATTTAGTTTTCTCAAAGGGGCCTTCTCTGACTATCCAATCCAACCAGATTTCCTTATTAAGTTACTCAGTAACTTAATCGTCCTCCTCACTTTGAATTTGTATATTCATTTGTCAGTTTTATCCATCTCTCCTACTGGATTATAACTCTTTCAAATTCATCTTGTTATATCCCATAACTACCTGCCACAGTAGCAGGCACACAGGAGACACTCAATGTGTCATACCAAATAAATCAACAGAAAAACAAATGCTACCCAATTCCATTTATTAAATTACCCAACAAATATTTGTGTTAGGGGCCAGTGCCTTTGGCTGTATTTCTTCCTTGAGGCAGAATGCTCTTTATCCCATTTTGTCTATTCAAAAGTAACTAACTCAAATACCAACTCCTTTAGATTTTTCCAAGCTGTTATATTATTTTCTTGGCACCCGATATATAATTTCTTCTACTGTTACTACTAACATTGAATTTGTTTTACCATTCATATCCCTGAAAAATTCCTGGAGCCCAAGCCTGAGTCCATTTTGCATCCCTTATTTCACTCCTATCCCCCAGCCAAATGCCTTGAATGTTTTCTTATTCAGCAAGGACCCATCTTCTCCATTTCAACAGTTACATTGTGCTCCAGTATCTATAGACTTGTGACTATGATCTCTTTAGGAATATACTTACTGAATTATTGTTCAAGATTCTAAGAATATTTATGATAGAAGAATCATATTTGAAAGTAGATTAAAAAGAGAAACTGTAATCTAAAATTTGCTTTAGTTACTATGTCTAACTTTCATCAACGCAAAATTAACTTGTTAAACTAAAGAAAGCTACCTTAATATTTTAATTTTTTAGAAGGTTTATTTATTCATTTAAGAGGTAGAGTTACAGACAGAAAGACAGAGACAGAGAGAGAGGCCTTAAATCCACTGGCTCACTCCCCAAATGGCTGCAACAGCTGGAGCTGGGCCAATCCAAAGCCAGAGCCAGGAGCTTTTTCCAGGTCTCCCTATGGGTGCAGGGGCCCAAGCAGTTGGGTCATCTTTTGCTGATTTCCCAGGCCATCTGAAGGAAGCTGGATTGAGAGTAGAGCAGCCGGGACTCAATCCGGTGCCCATTGAGATGCTGGTGCTGCAGGTGAAGGCTTAACCTACTATTCCACAGCATCGGTCCCTAATATTTTAATTTGAATCATGATGCTAGAGTTATAGGAACTTCTAATCAAATGCTTGATATGATCTGAGCTAACAATATCATTTGCCAAGGTTGTATTCTATCTTCATTTCTATACCCATTTTCACTCTCTACCTCTCCTCTTCCAGAAAACTCCCCCAAATATTGCTCCATTATATGAAATCTGATTTTCCTTGTGTTACTTCCCATCAAGGGTCTGCAATGGCTTCTGACTACACACATAATGATGATGATAAAAATTCCTGCTGTCTTACAAGATGATCAACTCAGCAGTTTTCAAACCAATTAAACAGCAAAACTCTTGGAAGTCTCAGTGCTCTTTGTACAACTGTGAAACGTTATGATTTAAGTATAGTAAGAATTCCAGACTAACATTAAACATAGTTACATTAGAAATAAGTAATGTAAATACAAATATCACAAGCATATATCAATGAAAAAACAAGCAGGTGCACTAAACATGACTGACTACTACTGGGTTTTGTCCCACTTATTTTCTAATAGTGAATATAAAAGGGTCAAAAATAGCTTAAGCCTAAAAATTATTTTTCCACAAACTGGGAAAAGATCAGCACTATTTGTAACTAGTAGCAGCACACTGTTACAGGACACCCTGCAGATGTTCCCTGGGTGCCCAGTTCATGAGCACTAACTTCCTGGTTAAGGACAAACGATTCTGACCCCCCCCCAACCCCCCCCCCCCACAACTATATTATTACAGAAGAAAAGTGAAATAAATATTGTTAAAATGTGGCATTAAACTCTTAACTGGGGATAACAGGCTATAGACAATTGTTTTATAAATCAAATTAATGACCATCAGTGCTAAAAGAGTCCAGAAAGTGTTTAAACCAAGTTATATTAAAAAAAAAGTGAAGATCATTTAAGCTCTATTACTCATTAAAGTACATAACAATCAAGTAGTTAATATTAAGTCTCATTTCTACAGCTTTAGGAACTCAAGTTAACTTTCTGATGAAATGGATTCCCTGAGTTTGTAATTCTACCATTAGGTTTTAAACTTAACAGCCAGCAACACTTGCCAGAGATAAGACAACTAAGGAAAAAAACACCACCTTTGAAAGTAACTACCATTTCTCCAAAGATGCAGCAATTAGCCCTAGCCGCTTTGTGATCTGTCATTCCTAGGGCCAGCTGGCTGGCTCAGAGAATTCTGGAGGCACCACTTTCTGGTCCTTTAACCTCCTGAACAGGCATGCATGCCACATCGAGACTACCAATGGCCAGATGAGGGTCAAAGATAAAAGCAAAGCACTAGAGCCATAGTTCTCAACAGCAAACTTCATAAATAATAATGAAAGATTACACACACACACACACACATATACACACAATTATTTCACAACTATAATAGGATAGTATATTAATTCACATTATAATACTGCATAAGATAACAAAAGCAGCAGATCTTGGCCTTTCAAAAATGCTATTTGAAACTGTTGTGTTTCTTTGTTGTACACTCATCAGATCTTTTTTTGAGTACCAAAAAAAATACAAAATGCATTACTAATTAAACATAATTTAGACTCAGTTTAAGAGGGCATATGATTAGAATCCCCCAGTGCAGCTCTCCCTATCTTCTCATCACTGTCCATACAAAGGCAACAGCACCTCCACCAGAATTAAGCTAACCTCTGATGAGAAATCTGTTTCACTATCTGAGTTTCAGAAACAGGTCTAGAAACAAATTAACAGTGGACTCAATTAATTTTCTTTCTTTCTTTTTTTTTTTTTAGTAGCACTTAACACTTTTTAATTTGCAAAGGAGAGGGATGGAAGGAGTAAAGGAGGGAGGAAAAGAGGGAGAGAGAAATGACACTGGAGAGAGGAGAGAAGGGAGGGGAGAGAGAAAGGACACTGGAAAGAGGAGAGAAGGGAGAGGAGAGAGAGAGAGAAACTGAGAAAAATCTTCCATCCATTGGTTCACTTCTCAAATGTCCACAATAGCCAGGACTGGGCCAGGCTGAAGCCAGAAGCCCAGAACTCCATCTGGATCTCTCCTTGGGGTGGCATGGATTCTACTAGTTGGACCATCACCAGCTGCCTCCCTGGGTACGCATTAGAAGAAAGTTTGAATTGGAAGTGGATCCAGGACTTAAATGCAGGCATCCCAAGTGGCATTTTAACCGCTGCGCCAAATGCCCACCCTGCAAAATCCAGTTTTCTGATTGGTACAACCCAGGCAGATGAATGCTCTGCTCTGTGAAACATAATAATTCTACCAGCTGAGAAGGGAACTTAACTTTGCTTTCTCTTTCCACCAGCTGTTTAAGAGACAATGTGTTTATGTAGTGGAAGGATGGCACTATGAGGCAGCCAGAGTTCTATTGGTCATTCCCACTCCCCAGTGGCACATCTCTTTGTACATTCATTAAATGCAATTCCCAGTAAAGCAGACAAGAGGAGGTTCAACATCCACAAGAAAAACTCTGCAGAGAACAAAAATACAGGAAAATCCTTCTAGTAGTTCATGTTAATAAATACAGGTTTTCCATATACTTCACCATTTTAAAGTGTTCCCAAACCAAACATACATGGCATAAGATGATCTTAGTTTAGTTCAACAAAGTCACATTTGATGACATCCTGCATCACTGGGAACCATAAAATAATCTGTTCCTCAGATATAGAGTTAGGAAGGCATTCAACCCTAAGAGGGAAGTGAGCAGCAGCCACACATTCTGCTGGCAGATAAGATAATCAACAGCGTCTAAAGAAAAAGGAAAAATAAACAAAGGAGAGAGAAATTACGTGCTGAAGAAGCAGAGGAGATATGTCTGAATAGAATTCAATAAGGAACCAAAAGATAATTTCAGAAAAAATGTATTTGGCATGAATTCTAACAAAGTTGAATAAGCAATGAAAATAAAATAATGGTATAAAGAGAAAAGGAAATAATACACCAAGACAACAGGATGAGTTAAAAAGGGATTTGGGTGACATTATTTTATGATAACAACATTAAAACTCCCATTGATGAGGAACATAGTGTTCTGAGCACACCTCCAAATCCTTCAGTCACCCAGTTGTGTTAGATTGGTGGCAAATTTGGCCCCAATTTTCCACACTTCCCTGTGTCCATACCCTTTGCAAGGCAGCTTTAAAACTATTTTCATCAAGAGGTGGAGTTTATTCCCCAACCCCTTAAATCAGCTTGTAGGACTTCCTTGGGCCAAGTCAATAATGCAAGTCAATAATGCCACAGTTCCAAGTGTAGTCTCAAGAGGCTCTGTGTACTTCCGCTTTCACTCAGACCTCTGCCACCACCATGAGAAAAAGCCCAAGCTTCTGGACGAAGAAACATTATATGGGGAAGAACAGAAGTCCCCTCAGTCAAAAACCAGCCAACCTCCATGAGGCCACATAACTCATTTAAAGCTGAACCCAAATGAGTTGCCAAGCTGCACAATAGGAGCTAAATAAATGGCTGATACTTTAAGTCATTTAGTTTTATAGTTTTTTTTTAATGCATCAAAAGCTATGGAATACATTCACTCAGGTGACAATCTATGTGGAAAGAAGAACCCTGATCCTTTTCATCATAGGAAAACAGAAACAGTTCCCATTTATACACTTAGAGCTTCAGGTTTCTC